TGCACCTCCTCTGAGTCTCAGTATGCTTTTCTCTTTCCTTCTAGCTGTAGAATTTCCACTCAGCCAGACTTCCTGTGGTTCTGGATGATGTCCGTTCTATCTTTTTTTTTTTTTTTTAAATATATTTTATTGAGTTTTTACAGAGAGGAAAGGAGAGAGATAGAGAGTTAGAAACATCGATGACAGAGAAACATCGACCAGCTGCCTCCTGCACACTCCCCACTGGGGATGTGCCTGCAACGAAGGTACATGCCCTTGACCGGAATCGAACCTGGGACCTTTCAGTCCGCAGGCCGACGCTCTATCCACTGAGCCAAACCGGTTTCGGCTGTCCGTTCTGTCTTTTAGTTGTATTTTTGAAGTGGTTGTGTGAGGCAGCAATCTCCGGTGTTTACCTATGCCGCCATCTTGGTTTTTTTTCCCCGGAGGGAACTCTTGAATGCATGTTACAGGTAATGCAAGGAAGGCCTTAGAACAGTATCAGACAGGGCTGTTTTCTCAGGGAAACTGCACTTTGCATTTGTATCGGTTACTGTTTGCTATGTAACAAACTGCTCCAAGACCTACTGGCTCCAAACAACATTTTTAAAAATTGTCGTAATTCTGTGAGTCAACTGAGCCGTTTTCTTTGAGGCTGGGACTGAATACGTTGGGATGGGCATGTCGTGTATCTGGCTATTGGCCCCATGTCCCCTGGATGATGGGGAGGCACTGGCCGCAGTGCTGTCACTGTCCAGCAGGCTAGCCTGGGCTTATGCAGTGGTGGTGGCTGCAGGGTTCCCACGAATAGTCACAGAGGGAAAGTGACGATACACAGGCACTTTTAAAGACTCTGCTTGTGTAATGTCATTGAGGTCCAATTGGCCAAAGCAAGTCATGTGGCCAAAACCAGAATCACTGTGGGAGAAGGGACTACCCACAGGAGAGGAACGAAGGCAGCCAGTTTTGTGAAGACCACCACAGAATTGGAACGAGGAGGTCATAATGGAGGGGATGGGCCTGTCGAACATGGGTGTTTGGCGCTCCTTCTTCCCTCTTGGATTGCAAACTTTTTTTTTTTTTAATTGTATATTTTTTAAATTAAATCTTTATTGTTCAGATTATTACATTTGTTCCTCTTTTTTCCCCCCATAACTCCCCTCCTCCCAGTTCCTGACCCACCCTCTGCCCTCACTCCTCACCCACTGTCCTCATCCATTGGTGCACGATTTTTGTCCAGTCTCTTCCCGCATCTCCCATACCCCTTTCCCCAGCAAGAATAGTCAGTCCATTCCCTTTCTATGTCCCTGATTCTATTATAATCACCAGTTCATTCTGTTCATCAGATTATTTATTCACTTGATTCTTAGATTCACTTGTTGATAGATGCATATTTGTTGTTCATAATTTGTATCTTTACCTTTTTCTTCCTCTTCCTCTTCTTAAAGGATACCTTTCAGCATTCCATATAATCCTGGTTTGGTGGTGATGAACTCCTTTAGCTTTTCCTTATCTGTGAAGCTCTTTATCTGACCTTCAATTCTGAATGATAGTTTTGCTGGATAAAGTAATCTTGGTTGTAGGTTCTTGCTATTCATCACTTTGAATATTTCTTGCCACTTCCTTCTGGCCTGCAAAGTTTCTGTTGAGAAATCAGCTGACAGTCGTATGGGTATTCCCTTGTAGGTAACTGAGTTTCTTTCTCTTGCTGCTTTTAAGATTCTCTCTTTGTCTTTTGCTCTTGGCATTTTAATTATGATGTGTCTTGGTGTGATCCTCTTTGGATTCCTTTTGTTTGGGGTTCTCCATGCTTCTTGGACCTGTAAGTCCATTTCTTTCACCAGGTGGGGGAAGTTTTCTGTCATTATTTCTTCAAATAGGTTTTCAATATCTTGCTCTCTCTCATCTTCTGGCACCCCTATAATTCGGATGTTGGTATGCTTGAAGCTGTCCCAGAGGCTCCTTACACTATCTTCGCATTTATGGATTCTTTTTTCATTCCGCCCCTCCAGTTGGGTGTTTTTTGCTTCCTCGCATTTCAAATCATTGACTTGATTCTTGCGCTCCTCTGGTCTGCTGTCAGGAGTCTGTATAATATTCGTTATTTCAGTCCGTGTATGCTTAATTTCTAGTTGGTTCCCCATCATAACATTGAGGGTCTCATTAGTTTTCTTATAGATCTCATTAAGTTTATCGGCGGCTTCTAAACAGTTCTTGAGAGACCTTAAAAGTGTGGTTCTGAACTCTATATCTTCCATTGACAATTTTGTCCTGTTTCTTTGTCTCCACATTTTGTTATGCTTTCTTGGTGCACCCCCCTAGTGGTCTTTGTGCGCAGTCTTGTAGTTAAGCCTTGATTGTTGTAGCTAATACCAGGGAGGGTTTGACCTCCAGGCCAAGTGGCTGTGAGAATCAGCTGTGTCTCTTGGATTGCAAACTTGAGGGCAGAGCCCGCCCTGGTGCCTCCAGAGTGCCCTCTTCTAGTACGTGGTGAGGGCTGGTACTTGGCCAGGTGGCACCTGTCCTCACACGGATGCTGCACCCTCCCATCTCGGGTGTGGTGCTTGCCAAGACGTTACCAACATTTGGTCGAACGTCTCACGTACATGCGTTGGCTCCCAGGTGCCAGAGTGCCGCGGCTCTCTGGGAGGGTGACGGCTCCCCTGTTGGTGTGGCTGGTTTTTCCCCCTCATCTCGGCTTTGTCCTTCCTGACGTGTGATCTCCTTTCTTTGCATTTGCAGGCTAGGGCTTCCTTCCCTGGTTTCATCTCAATTCCGCTTTTCATCACCTCAGTTTCTGCCTTTCTTCTGTCTTGGTTTTTCTTTCTTTTTCTCTCCTCCCCTCTCTTCCCTTCCGCTTTCCCATATATGGACAATGATTGCACCATTCCAGTGGTGTTAAGTCTCCCCCAACCTTGGGTTACCTAAGGCCCCTGAAAGTATCAAAGGATTCTGGGGAGGTAAGGGGTGGAAGAACTGGGTAAAGTGTGCAGCAAGTAATCTTCTGAGCCCTCAGCTCAGCTTTAAAAAAAAAAAGTTGGTTTGTTGGGTTTTTTTTGAAGAGAGAGAGGAAGGGAGAGGGAGATAGAAACATCGATGTGAGAGCTAAACATTGACTGGCTGCCTCCTGCATGTCCCCCTACTGGGGATCAAGCCCACGACCCAGGTATGTGCCCTGACCGGGAATCCAACCAGCAACCTTTTGTGCACAGGATGATGCCCAACCAACGGAGTCACTCCAGCTAGGGCCCAGCTCAGCTTTGATTTGTTTCATACCTTAACCTTCCACAGAGGATGTTTGACAAAGAATTCCACTGCCCAAAGGGAAAGTTTGCAGAGGTTTTGCATGGACACAGCAGAGGTTATGACAGGCTTAGCGTTAACCAGTCTGTTGAGATAAGAGGCGTCTCAGGAGAACAGGGCCAATGGCTTTCAGCACCGAGTGGGTCTACCATGACGACAGACGCTTTGGAGAGCACGCTGGCTGGAAGGCTCAGAGGCAGGAGGACCAGCTGGCCATGGAGGCTGAGGCTGGAGGAGGTAGCATCTGGGTGCAGTGGAGAGACTGGGGCTGATGCTGAGGTGCAGAAGCAGCTGGCGTGGTGACGTTCTGAGGGACAGTGACTGATGCTGGGGAAATGTCCAGAGTCCGAAGCAGCTGGAGAGACAGGCAGGGTGTGCTTTGGCAGAAGCTGTCGTGGGTTCTTCTTGTGGTTCCTCAGTCACTAACTGCTTTCTCAGCATGGAGAGAGTTAGGGGCTGGAGGTCAAAGCTGTAGGCACAGAACCTCACACAGGCGTGGAGGTCTCAGGGCCTGAGATCAGGATGCAGGGTGTGACAGAAAGATGCATCCACTCAGGCCTGCAGTTGAGACCAGGGCCACGCCCACCACTGACCACAGAGATGGTACCTAATGCTGTTTGCTGCCAAAGCTGGCTGCCTTTCTGCATGATTGCAGCATTTGTGGTTGTGGTGATTCAATGTGAAAGCAAACTTTACCCCGGAGAGGGGCCATCAAGAGTATATTGTTAAGTGATTCTTAACCTCTTCTGGATGGTCCCCTTCGGGAATCTGACAGGAGCTGGACCCCTCCCACACGTGCCCCCACAGTGTGGTCAGTGTGTGCAGGTGTGTGTGGGTAGACATGTTCTCACTGCACAAAGGCACCATCTTTGAGGGGCTCAAAATATCTTTATTTTGGCAAATTTCCAGCATAGGACAATCAAGGGTCTCATTCTGTCACAGGTTGGTCTGTTACAACAACGGGCGGGCCTGTGATGATGACAGAGTGACTTGTTCTGGTCTGTACAGAGGTGTCCCATCATCTAGCCCAGGGGTGGGCAAACTTTTTGACTCGAGGGCCACAATGGGTTCTTAAACTGGACCGGAGGGCCGGAACAAAAGCATGGATGGAGTGTTTGTGTGAACTAATATAAATTCAAAGTAAACATCATTACATAAAAGGGTACGGTCTTTTTTTTTTTTTTTTAGTTTTATTCATTTCAAACGGGCCGGATCCGGCCCGCGGGCCGTAGTTTGCCCACGGCTGGGCTAGCCACAGGGTTGTGCTTGCCTTTGTTGCTCTACATGTGGACATGACTTTCCCTAAGAGAATGGTCCTGTCTACCTGTGTAGACCTGTGTGTCCCCTGTGAGTGGCTTTGTGTCCACCGTAGATGGCCAAAGAGCCCTCCATGGCTGGCCAAGAGTCCCCAGTGGCTGAGTGAGTGTCCCCTGTGGGTGGCTGAGTGTCAGGCCATGCAAGGCTGAGTGGGTGCTGTGGGAGGCCCAGCATTTCTTTGGGAATGGTCACATGTTTGCCCTTGGATGATGGGGTGACACTGTGGTTCCCTCTCTGCTCTCTGACCAGTCTCGGCTCCCCCAGTCCCTGCTGCTTCTCCATGAGGCTCTGGGGTGCCAAGCCCAGAGGGTGTGTTTGGGGGACCTGGGACCCAGCAGGGGGACACCACGACAGGAGCCCAGGTGGTTGTAGGGGTGACCTGCTCTCCTTGTCCCCACCAGGCTGAGGCCCCGGAAAGAGCAGGGCACGTACGCACTGTCTATGATCTATGGGAAAACCGTGTACCACTACCTCATCAGCCAGGACAAGGCCGGCAAGTACTGCATACCCGAGGGGACCAAGTTTGACACGCTCTGGCAGGTGAGCCGCCCGCCCCCCGGATGTGAGGGAGCCGCCATGGCGAGGTGCTCAGGCTCCTGGGAGGAAGGAGCCTGGCCCTGACGCCCGCCCCCTGCAGCTGGTGGAGTACCTGAAGCTGAAGGCGGACGGGCTCATCTACTGTCTGAAGGAGGCCTGCCCCAACGCCAGCGCCAGCGCCAGCACAGGTGCGTGGGGGCCACGGGGTGGGGCTCGGGAGATGCTGGCCCTCAGCCCCTCACCGCCCTTTCTGTTCCCTCAGGGGCCGCTGCTCCCACCCTCCCCGCCCACCCATCCACGTTCACCCATGTGAGTCAGCCAGCATCTCAGAGTTGGGGTCTCTGGGGCGGAGCTGGTATGGGGGCTATGGGTCCTGTTCCCAGGGCGAGGCTGGGGAACGGGAGGAGGTCCCCCATTACTGTCCCTGGGAGTCCTCAGAGGATATGGGTCTCATGAGGGGCTGGTGCCCTCAGCTTGGGCCCTACTAACCCTTGTGGCCCCATGACCTTTAGCCTCAGAGACGGATCGACACCCTCAACTCAGATGGATATACCCCTGAACCAGGTGAGCTGGCAGAGGCGGAGGTGTGTGATGGGTTTGGTGCCGGCTGGTGGCAGATCCCTGGCTGGCTCTGGGTGTGCTCAGGGAGACGGGGGCCTGTCCCGGCCTGTGACAGTTGGCTTGGTTGGCCCTGTGCACACACTGTACCATCTGCATGGGCACGCCCATCACGCCCTCCTGTGCTTGTACATGGGTGTGTGCAGTCATGCAGGGCAGAACCCATGGCCGTGCCTGGGTGCCCAGGGCACAGACACACATTCGTTAAGCACCTACTGTGTGCCAGTTACACTCCGAGCTCACTGTGCACATGAGCTCATTGGATCCTCCTGGCATACTATGGGAGGCGGTCACAGTAATTCTCAATATATAGACGAGCCAGGAGGGAGTAACTCTCCCAGGCCACACAGTAGGCAGTGGTGGTGGTGGTGGGGGGGGGGGGGCGAGACTGGACCCAGGCAGACAGGCTCCCGAGGCCACGCTCCTAAAACGCCCCGCTGCTGATGCTCGTGTGTTGGAAGTGTGGATGCAAGCCTCCCCATGTATGTACTCAGAGAACATACATGGTTGTGTGTGCACACAGAGGCTCATCTGTGGAGCCCTTTAAACATGGCTGCCTGGTGCCTACAGAGACGCGGGCAGGCACGGACGTAGGTGCATACATGTCAGTGCACACACAGGCACAGGTGTGCACATTCCAGCTGGCATACTAACGGTTACTCAGAAAGACATGGGTGGGAGTGTACATGGGTGCATAAGTGTGAACACACAAGGGAACACATGCTTATATGTGCACAGTGATGCACGAGCCTTTGGGGTCCACTTGGACGTGACTTCCCAGTGCACCCACAGATGGGACCAGGAGTGCACACATGTGCACACACACACGGACCCACGCGCCTATACATGCTCTAGGCGGTACGCCCCTGTCCACGGTACATGCCTTGTGGGCGCTGAGGCTCCCTGCCCTCCCATCCCCTGCCCCTTCCCTCTTCTTGACTGGGAGTGCACGCCTGCCTCTGTGTGCCCAGCCCGCCTAGCGTCCCCAGAGAAGCCGCGGCCCCTGCCCATGGACACGAGTGTGTACGAGAGCCCCTACAGCGACCCCGAGGAGCTCAAGGACAAGAAACTCTTCCTGAAGCGCGACAACCTCCTTGTAGCTGACATCGAACTTGGTTGCGGCAACTTCGGCTCCGTGCGCCAGGGCGTCTACCGCATGCGCAAGTACGACTGTTGGTGCAGGGGGCCGTCCCCTGCCTGCGGAGAGGGGGAGCCAGGAGGTGACATCAGTTTGCCTGGAAAACAGACCCTGGGGGAGGACCTTGCCCTTGGGGACAGCACCTGAGGGAGTGAGAAGCAGCGTGGGGCCGGGGAGGCTGGGCTGGGCTGCAGCTGCTGATCCCAGGGGAGCTGTAGAGGGGCCCCCTGAGCCCCTGCGTCCACCCGTCATTGGAAGCAGGCTGCCCAGTGGGGAGTGTACCTATGAATGGAACTGCTCTTTGCAGTGAGGGGCAGTTCCGGGGAGTACTTGGCCGTGCACTGCCCCGCCCGTACTCCCGGCAGCCAGGGATGAGTGCCTGGGTCTGGAAGGGAGATCTGGGTGGCAAACCACAGCGTCCACTACGCAGTCCAGGGAGAAGGAGGCCGGTGGGGGCACGAGGGGCCGAGCAGGGCCGCGCTGACTCGAGTGTGCCTTGGCTTGGGCAGGAAGCAGATCGACGTGGCCATCAAGGTGCTGAAACACAGCACAGAGAAGGCGGACAAGGACGAGATGATGCGCGAGGCGCAGATCATGCACCAGCTGGACAACCCCTACATCGTGCGGCTCATCGGCGTCTGCCAGGCGGAGGCCCTGATGCTCATCATGGAGATGGCGGGCGGCGGGCCGCTGCACAAGTTCCTCACCGGGAAGAAGTGAGTGGGCTGCGGGGCGCTGGGACGGGCGCATCCTGTCCACTCATGGGTGTGCTCCACTGTGAGCACACACTCACTCTATATTACATTTTTGTTTATTGATTTTAGAGAGAGAGTAGAAGGGGGAGAGAGGGAGAGAAATCGATTTGTTGTTCCACTTATTCATGCATTCACTGGCCGACTCTTGTATGTATCCTGACCGGGGATTGAACCTGCAACCTTGGTGTATTGGGATGATGCTCTAACCAACTGAGCTACCTGGCCAGGGCTCACACTCATTCTATATGTTCATAGATACACTCACACCCAACGCACAGCACACCCTGACACGCACACTCATACCTGCCCCCACACACCCTGACACGCACACTCATACCTGCCCCCACACACCCTGACACGCACACTCATACCTGCCCTCCTCGCACACCCTGACACGCACACTCATGCCTGCCCCCGCACACCCTGACACACACACTCATGCCCACAGGGCAGAGCCTGACCTCTGTGCCGGATGGAGCCCCAGCTCTGCCTCTGACTGCTGTGACCCGAGCAGGCTCTTAACTTGTCCGGGTAGTTTCCTCGTCTGTACCGCAGTGGGGATCACAGTATTTCCTCCAGGGCCCTTGTGAGGGTCAGAAGAGTGGGTATTGATAAAGTGCTCAGCACGGTGCCCGCACTGCGTGTGAGGGCTGGTACTAGCTCCGAGGGCCATAACTGTCGCCACCCCAGTTCTCTTGGCCCAGGTCATGACCCACAGGAAATGAGGTGGACTGTCTCTGACCTAAAGCAGGGTCAGCAAACTGCAGCCCATGGCTTGCTTTTGTCCTGCATGGTTTTGCATTTTTAAATGGCAGAGGCCACGTGCAGCCTGCTGAGGCCAGAACATTCCTGTCTACCGGCATTTACAGAAGAAAACGGCTGACCTCTGACCTAAGGAACTGCAGCTTCCTTTGTGCTCCCTCCGCCTCAGGCTCTTACTCTCAGTCTTTCACACTCACCACGGCAGGGGCCCGCCAGCCGTCCTTGTGTCGGGCCGGCTCATGCAGCCAGTCACTGCACAGGTGTTCAGGAAACCTCTGTGACAGGGACGATTACAGCTCTTGGGATTCATCAGTGGACAAAAGTGGCAAAGATCTTTGCCTGCATTCTGGTTGGAGAAGAGAGGCTTTGAATAATTACACAATGAAGTGCTGCGTATGTCGGGAGATAAGTACTATGGAAAGGGGTCGGGAGTGTCGGGCTGGGAGGAGAGCAGTGGGAAGGTGAGGTTTGTGCAAACAGGGAGGCAGCCGAGCACAGCTCTGGGGGAAGGGTTTTAGGCAGAGGGCACAGCCAGTGCCAAGGCCCTGCGGTGCCCCCACGCTGGTGCTGCGGAGGAACTGTGAGGGGGCCTGTGGCTGGAACTGATGTGGTGGGAAGGTGATGGGTCATATTTTGCAGGGCCCTGTGGGTGCGGGGAGGGCTTGAACTTTGACCTGAGTGAGATGGGAACCCCGTGTGGCTGTGAGCAGAGGAGGAGGACCTGGCTCTTCTGTGGGGAAGACCCAGGAGGGTGAGGGCAGAGGGGACTGTTCCGGTCCAGCGAGTGAGGACGGAGGCTGGACCAGGTGCAGGAGCCATGGTGGGAGAAGCCGGAGGTGCTGGAGGGTCCTGAAGGCAGAGCTGATCGCTGGATGTTGGGTGGGAGAAAGAGCAGCTGAGGGCAGGCTTCTGGCTGGAGCACATGAGAGGAAGGAGCTGCTGGGAGGGAGGGGCTGCTGTGTGTGTGTGTGTGTGTGTGTGTGTGTGTGTGTGTGTGTGTGTGGCTTAGCTTTGTCCTTAACCATCTTTGAGATGCCCTCGGGCCCCAAGGGACCGTGGAGGGTGCAGACAAATGATTAGTTTGGGAATTGTAGCAGGTGGGTGACATTGACAACCTGGACCGCAGGAGGGCAGGGCTCCCCTGTGGCTCCCCGCTGTGTGCCCAGCCCCTGCTTGGCACAGACAGGTGCTCAGTGAGCATGAGCATGTGCCCAGCTGGGGCGGAGGCGCAGGCTTGGCCCCCGGGGTGGGGTGGGGGGCGGGTGGGAGGAGCTCGGGCTGCCGCACCCGCTGACCCGGCCTCCCCGCCCCAGGGAGGAGATCCCCGTGAGCAACGTGGCGGAGCTGCTGCACCAGGTGTCCATGGGGATGAAGTACCTGGAGGAGAAGAACTTCGTGCACCGCGACCTGGCGGCCCGCAACGTCCTGCTGGTGAACCGGCACTACGCCAAGATCAGCGACTTCGGCCTCTCCAAGGCGCTGGGCGCGGACGACAGCTACTACACCGTGAGCTGCTGTGGGCCACGGCGGGGAGGGGGAGCGGGAAATATCTGGAGGGGCGGGGTCTCCATGGGGGCGGGGTCCCCGCGGGTGTGGGCGGGGTCTCCATGGGGGCGGGGTCCCCTCGGGTGTGGGCGGGGTCCCCACGGGTGGAGGGGCGGGGTCCCCACACCGGCGCCAGCAGCGTCTCCGCCCCCCAGGCGCGCTCGGCGGGGAAGTGGCCCCTCAAGTGGTACGCGCCCGAGTGCATCAACTTCCGCAAGTTCTCCAGCCGCAGCGACGTCTGGAGCTATGGGGTCACCATGTGGGAGGCCTTCTCCTACGGCCAGAAGCCCTACAAGGCAGGCGGGCAGGGCAGGGGTGGGGGAGAGGCGGGGTGCCGGGTGCGAAGGCGGGAGGGGGGAGGCCTGGGTGCGAAGGTGGGGCGGGGTGGGGGTGCGAAGGCGGGAGGGGGGAGGACTGGGTGCGAAGGCGGGGCGGGGTGGGGGTGCGAAGGCGGGGAGGGGGGAGGGCTGGGTGCGAAGGCGGGGAGGAGGGAGGGCTGGGTGCGAAGGCGGGGGGTGGGGGAGGGCTGGGTGCGAAGGCGGGGCAGGGTGGGGGTGCGAAGGCGGGAGGGGGGAGGGCTGGGTGCGAAGGCGGGGCGGGGTGGGGGTGCGAAGGCGGGAGGGGGGAGGGCTGGGTGCGAAGGGCTGGGTCGCAGGCGGGGGGCGGGGGTGTGGAGGCAGAGGCGGGGGAGGGGAGGGCTGGGTGCGAAGGCGGGGGGCGGGGGTGTGGAGGCAGAGGCGGGGGAGGGGAGGGCTGGGTGCGAAGGCGGGGGGGCGGGGGTGCGGAGGCAGAGGCGGGGGAGGGGAGGGCTGGGTGCGAAGGCGGGGGGCGGGGGTGCGGAGGCAGAGGCGGGGGAGGGGAGGGCTGGGTGCGAAGGGCTGGGTCGCAGGCGGGAGGGCCTGGTTGCTCAGCATGCACTTGGCTCTGCTCGAGCAGAAGATGAAGGGGCCCGAGGTCATGGCCTTCATCGAGCAGGGCAAGCGGATGGAGTGCCCGCCAGACTGTCCGGCTGAAATGTATGCGCTCATGAGCGACTGCTGGATCTACAAGTGAGTGCGGGCGGGAGGGGCGGGCTGGCCGGACCCGGGGCTGGGGCAGAGGTCCTGGGGCCCAGTCAGTCCAACAGAACTGTGGGGTGTCATCCACCCAGAGACTCGCTGCCTTTCCAACACGCAGGTGCTCTGCCTCTGTGCGCATCTCTCCAGCACCCTACACTGCCCCCCATCTGTGGACACCGAAGCCCCAGGCCCCACCAGCCAGCATTCAGCACACTGGTCCCCCAGAGCTCCCAGTCACCCCTCTGTTACCCCATGTGGTACCAGTGCTCAGGCACCGGATGATGTTCTAGCATCTAACTTGTCAGCCCCCACCAGCCAGATAGGTCACCACTGAAGTACACAAACACTCAGTATATCCACACCCCACTCTGTCTGGTCGAAGCTTAACACTTGAATAACCCAACTCTGAATACCGTCATCCCAATTTCCCATCCGACAACAGGCAGCACGGATCCAAACAAGCGTTCACCCTACACTGATCATGCAATGTGTGTACATTCCAGCACCTGTGCATTCCTAGCCCCCAGCATCCATTGCTCCACTGGCCAACACCTGTGACACTGATGCGCAGACACGCAGGCAATCCAATAAACAGACACCCCTCTTTATGGTAAATAAATAGCAGATGGTCAGCCTTCCCGTCAAACAGGTTAACCCGCCTCCACAGGAAACACCGAGACACCAACACCCAACACAGTGCCAGGACACCCCACACAGCACCATTAGTGCCCAGCGCTCACCAGCCCACCCCCTCAGTACCCCAGCCTTCTGTTCCATCATGGCAGCATACTTGCACCCATATAAGTCCACCCTGGCCCCATGTGCCCCGACCCCGGGCACGTCACATGCTCAGTACGCCAGCGTTCAATAGCCCAGCTCCCTGCAGTCAATAGTTGCCTTGCCGAACACTCAGTGGATTCATTTAATAAGTCTTTACTAGTTAACACCCAGCATCCTGTGTGTCTGCAGCCCTTCTATCCGGCAACCCCAAATTCCCGGTCTCACACCTTAAAGACCCCTCTATCACCCAGTACTTCACCACCTCGACGCCCCAGGATTTTCTGAGCCCCCTGCATGCCCACCTCCAGCTGGACTTGGGTTCTGGCTGGTGGTCAGTGGCCTGGATCTGCCCCTCCCCCCACAGGTGGGAGGACCGCCCGGACTTCCTGACTGTGGAGCAGCGCATGCGGACCTACTACTACAGCTTGGCCAGCAAGGCTGAGGGCCCCCCGGAGAGTGAGAAGGGGGCCAAAGCTGCCAGTGCCTGACACCCCCTGCCCAGGCCCTGCGGGCCCCTAGGCCCAGCCTTTCCTCTGTGCCTTCGGCCCCATCCCAGGATCCAGTGTGGCCGGGCCAGGCCAGCTCCTCCCCGCAGCTGGGCTGTGAGTGGGAAGCTCAGGCCGAGGCCCACACGGGTTAGGCGTGTCCTACCTGGTCACCCGTCCTTTCTGGCTGCGGGAGGAGGGATGCCCTGAGATGGGGGTGGGGTTGTGTAGCCTGGCCCCGGGCGGGTATGTACTGGGGGGCCCTGAACCGAGGGGTGCTTACAACAGGGACCCTCCTTCCTCGCCCTGAAGGGGAGGACTCTGGGAGTCCTCAGGTGGCAAGACCTTAACCATGGAATAAATCAGCTTCTCTCTTGTCTGAGCTTCCTCATCTTTCTTGGGTGATGGTGGGACAGGAGAGGGGGCGCTAGGGCGTGCTTGAGAACAACTTTGCTTGTGTGAGGCTGGCTTTCCCACTCCTGTGCCCTGGGAAGTCTTCATTCAAGTGAGGGGCTATTGGGGAAACCAAGGCAGGTAAGTGTGGGGCTGTGTGCGTGCGGAGCCTCAGCGTCCCTACCTCCGTGACTGCATGATGGCGTCACCTGGAGAGACCTGACCAGCTGCTGACCCTCCCCCTCCCTCTCGCCCCGGCATCGGTGCATTTTAAAGTGTCTTCAGGTGATTCTACCACCCAGCGTCCTGCTCTGCTGTCCAGCCTTTCTTCCTGGGCCGGTCATCGCTGGAGTTTCCATCACTGGGTGCCCCAAGTGCCAGCTCAGTCCTGCTCAGACCTGTCCCTAAGCTCTTGTGGCCTCAGTTTACCCACATGGAAAGTTGGGATGTTGGATCGCAGAACCCAGCAGGTGGGGTGAAATGAAGCCAGGTGCCTGCATTTCTTTGCCGAACCAGCTCCCCGCCCCCCCCTCCCCCGTGTGATGGGCCGTCCCAGGCCCCAGTCAACGCCTCGTTCTCTTGGCTCCGCCCCGGAGTGATTGGCTCAAGGGCGGCACAGGCCCCCTCTCAGAGCCCAGGAAAGGCCGGGAGATGCTCCGTGGCTCCTGGGAAGGCGGCGTTTCCTCTCACCGGTGGAGGCCGGGCTGCCTGTGGCTGTTCGTGCGGTTATGGGGAGGGCTGGGGGCTCCAGCCGCTGTGCAGAGGGAGCGTGAGGCCCGATGGGTGACCCTGAGAGCAGACCCCGAGCCTTCGTCACCCGTGAGTACATGGTGGAGACCAGGAAATGGATGAACGGGTTCAGACCTTGCTGTGATGTCACCATGTACTGTTGAGGTTTTCATACTGGATACCTAAGCTTCATATGAGCATATTTAATGAACTTTGTAGTCTACATGGAGGTGAATTCAGAGGCCCCTCAGCTAGACCGCCAGCTGACACACGGAGGCCCAGCTGTGCGTGTTTGGAGAGTGTGTTATGGGTTAGCTCAGCGAGATAGACCACCGACTCAGAACTTAAATTTTAAGAGCCTTTATTAAGCTAGCCAGCTGACTGCCAGCCGTGTCTTTTCCGTAAGAGCCCACAGCTTGCAGTGCAGACCAAGAGTACAGCAAGACCTTTTATCTGCAACACTACAAAGTATTTTTTTAAAAAAGAAAAAACAAACTGCAGAGCGGGTCCTTAGCCGTTCCCGGTGCTGGCAGGGTAAAAAGTTTACATAAAATTTACGAGCGGGGTCACACCTGGCTGGGTTCAATCACAACACATGGCTTTTTTAGCGAGATAATTAGCAATTTTCCTCTCCCATGGTCCCTGCCCCTCAGCCTCCTTAGTAATTCTCTTTTGTCAGGCCCCTGCCCCTAGCACAAGTGTTTATAAGGGTGTGGAATTTTCTGAGGGTCTCCGAGCCCTGCATTTACAGTGAAAACAGACCAGGAGAGTGCAGACACCCTAAAGTTAAAGACACAAACTCGAATTACTCCCATTTTTGTCATTCTCTGTGACCACTTGGAGATTTTTGTGTTTAAAATGTAAACCAGTGAGGCCTTGCAAACTGTGAGATACAATAACTTTAGTTGGAAAATGTATATCAGTTCATACCTGAACCAAATTACTGAATTTGAATAACACCATTAAAATGTAAACATTGTTTTTAAACTAATGAGCAAATCAAGAAAACAGTCACATTAATGGTACAATTTCGTGGCTTCCCAAATTCTGTTCGCAGATATTTCAGTTTTATTAAATTCACTTGTTAGTTATGGGATAATTCACATTATTAGATGAAGTGTATCATAAAGGAAATAAATTCTCACTGTCTGCATTTCTTTTAGTCATTAATTTTTATTTTATTATTGCTGAAAATCATTTTATAGGAAGGAGGTTCTAACAGTGACCCACTCTGAGTGTCCAATACACCGAACACTGTGTGCGCTGCCAATAAATCAGCGGTTCTCAACCTGTGGGTCGCGACCCTTTGGGGGTTGAACGACCCTTTCACAGGGGTTGCCTAAGACCATCGGAAAACACATATATAATTACATATTGTTTTTGTGATTAATCACTATGCTTTAATTATGTTCAATTTGTAACAATGAAAATACATCCTGCATATCAGATATTTACATTACGATTCATAACAGTAGCAACATTACAGTTATGAAGTAGCAACGAAAATAATTTTATGGTTGGGGGTCACCACAACATGAGGAACTGTACTAAAGGGTCGCGGCATTAGGAAGGTTGAGAACCACTGCAATAAATGCTTGTTGAACCAATAAGAGGGTGCGGTTCCACACATTCACCACCAGGGGCCGCTGTTCCTGAAGCCAAGGCCGCTCAGTTTGGGCCTTGCCGCCAGCCCTGCTTCTGGGTGTCTCTTCTGCCTGGGGCGCGACCCCAGGCTCCTCCCTGGTCTCCAGGTGCCCCCCACCCCGCGCCGTCCTGTCCCTTGCAATCCATTCACCCCAAAACCACTTTTCTTCCAGGGTTCCCCAATCATAGCACCCCTGCCCCCGGCTGCAGCTGCTTTCCACAGAGGGTCTTAACATGAATTGAATGACAGTCCTAGGTTATGGGCACCTCTGAAAAGGCCCTGTCATCTTCAGGCCTTGCACAGCCATTAGCCAGGGTGGGGGTGCGGTGTGGTGGGCCTGGGAGAGAGAGGGGCCGGCTGTTGCGGGGCTCCGGGGGGGGGCACTGTTTCTGGCTCTGGCTGTGGAGGAGGGTTGGGGCTGGCTGCGGGGGTCCGACTGTGTGGAGAGGCGGTTGTACAGATCTAGGGGACTGTGTTGTGGCAGAGCCTGTGGGGGCTCCTTCAAGGGCTGGGGCGCGAGCTGTTGGCAGGCTGGGCTGTTGAGGTCCGTGGTTGGCTGTGGGGGCCTGGCTGCACAGGGCCCTGCTGCTCCAGGGTTGGTGTGGGTCGGGGTGGCTCCCGGGGAGTCCGGCTGCTGAGGGCGATGCAGTGTCTGCTGCAGGCGGTGAGCTCACACAGACCTTGGGCTGTTGTCTGCTGGACCCTGGGCGCTGTGCGGCGTGTCTTGGGGTTCAGTAGTGAAGGTCAGCTTTGCTCATCTTTCCTTCTTTCTGTGTTTCTTGTTCTCGGTGTTTTGCAATCTGTCTTTCTCTGTTTCCACCTGGCGCTCTCGCTGGGTGGGCCAGCACCCAGGCGGGTCTGTCCCTGCATGGTCTCGGATGTGCGGACTGGATGGTGCAGGGAAGAATTCAAGACACGAGTCCGAGTCATTCTGAGAGAACGTTCATTAAAGCTGGGGACGTGCATCAAAGGAAGGGCTTAGGGCAGAAGCAGCAAGATTAAGAGGCCAGTGAGCAGGACACGTGGGATAAGGACACTGACAGCTGAACAAACTGGCCGAGCAGTTTGCAGCAGATACAGGTCACCTTCCTGGAGAGAACATCCAGGCCTCAGCTGTGTTCCAGCTCCAGGCCCAGAGAAGCAGCACAGCCAGGTGGGCGACACCAGGGCCAGCTGAGATGACTACTGACTAATGATGCCCCCCTGCCCTGGTGCTGACCAATCAGCAGAGACGTCATCCCTCCCCCTTCCCCTTCTTCCCCATAGGCTTGCATCTCCTAAACTCTAAGGCAGTGCTTCTCAACCTTGGCTGCACATTAGAATCACCTGGGAATCTTTTTAAAATCCTGATTTCTGGGCCCCATCCTCTGGAAATTCTCTTTCTTTGTTACTAATGTTGTGGCCCCACCCCATAACAAAGAAACAGAATGTCTGGAGGATGAGGCCCAGAAATCAGGATTTTAAAAAGATTCCCAGGTGATTCTAATGTGCAGTCAAGGTTGAGAACCACTGCTCTCAGGGAACCCATGAGACTGGCAGCAGGAGAAGCGAAACGAAGCAGTGGGCAGCGGCAGCTCCACCCAGGCGAATCCCCGAACCTGTCCCCAGGGCCCTCTGTTCTGCCTGCCCAGAGAGCGAGGGAGCGAGGGCAGCGCAGCCGGGGCTCTCCTGTGGCTTCTGTGCAAAGCCCTTCCTCGCTTCAGTGTCCGCAGCTTTAATAAATGTCCCCGCGCAGTCACCTGGACTCCTGTTGGGAAATGTTTCCTGCACGAAGTCTAGAAGCCGGGCCAGGCGGGCCGCTAAGGGCCAGGCCCCCTTCCTGGTAGCAAGATCACAGCGACCAAGTGAGGGTAGCCAGGGCTGCTGTGGCCCTTTGAAAGGTGAGGCAAGAGGGGTGCCCTTGGAGCTTAGGAGAAGGTCTGTAAAAGCAGCACCTGAGGAAAGAGGTGTGTGTTGGGGGGGGGGGGGGCGGTGTCCAAGGGAGAGTGCCGCCAGCTCCCTTGTCCTGAGGTTTCTGTAAGTTTTCTAGAAGCGGGCATTTTAGGGGCGGTGTCAGGGGAGGATCCAGCAACACGCCTCAGCTTTCCAGGTGTGTCCGTGGTTATGCTGATGCCTCTGAGTGAGCGCGGAGGGGAGAGGGGTCGTTCTCTGGTCAGCTTCACCTCTATCTTGGACTTGTCTGGCTCTAGTTGTTGTTTTGTTAGTTATTCCCCTGGGTTATCCATCTTGGGTATGGCTGCCACTACTTGGGTCCCTGTTAGCGATCTCCCTGCCTAGGCCCTAGGGCAGGGGTGGGCAACCTTTTTGTGAGTGCGTGCCAAAACCAGCAAAATCTCTGGCTCAAAATTCTTCTGCGTGCCAACCCTAATTTTTTGAGAACATGTTACGCCTACTTGATATCACTTAAGGTGTACGTATGTGAAGAACCTTAAAGAAATAAAATTCATTCAAGCGACAAAAACACAGTATATGATGATGAAAAATACATTTATTTTTTAATGTATACATGTACACTGATAGTCCGACAGAAAACTTTATGACTCCGTTTGATGTTATCAGTGGGACTTTTGCTGCTGCATCACTGATGACAGAGATTTTACATCAGGTTTATA